ATACATATATATGTGTATATATATATATATATATATATATATATATATAAATAATTAATTTTAATAGTAATTTCTAAAGGCAAGATATAAGGCACAATATGCTTTTTTATAAAATTCGATGCATTCTAGTATATACAAAAATTTGCTCTCATTTCCGCTTACAAAATCTTTTAACTTCATGAATTACGATTATTACGATTGTTTTTTTAAAATAAAAAATTTAAATAAGTAACATTACACTAAAAAATATGTTATATAAAATGTAAAAAATATTATATAAATATCTATTTACAAACTTTTACGATTCTCTTTTTTTGATCGAAATTTTTACTAATAAAAATTAATGTTTTTTTTCACATGATTCTTAAATTTTTTGATTCATCGTAAAGCTTTATTACCGTCAGAAAATTAATATTGATTGCTAAAGAACTTACGATATCTAATTTGATGCTAGGAAAATACTGTTATTACAAGTTAAATCCTTGATATTATATAACAAATACTGTTAGCAATGTATGACTGAATTATTTCTATTATTTCTATTATTTTAGCAGCAATTCATATGAGATTCGTTCTAACATAAGAATGAATCTATTTAAAATTATTATTTTATCAATTTCAACATCATAATGTATGAATAAGTATAATACATATAATGCAATATATAATAACGATAATTTAAAAAAAAAAAATTTGAATAAAATTTCATTCTATCGCAATTTAGCAGAGTCTAAAAATTTCAATAAATCAAATAATATCAAATAATAATCTAAAGCATAATAAAATATAAAATATATAGCACAGCTGTCTTTTTTATCAGGCACAATATCATTCGTCCTAAATTCAACATAACTACTAATTATTTACAACATAAAATAATAAACGCTAATTAATTTAAATCAGGAAACAAACATAACTTGTAAAAGCTGCCTGGATTAAAATTAATATAAAAATATGATAAATATCACGAAAATGAATATAATTCAATTACGAAATTATGAATTTCTAATTAATTCCAAACTCACTAATTATCAGACTGTCAAATGGGTATATATAATAAGAGAGCGATAAAAATATAGAAATAAAAAAAAAGAAAAAAAAGAAATCGAAGAAGATATTAGACAGGTACTTTGCAAATTTTAACCATTTCATGATCGATCACGAATTCCTTATTCTATCTTGAGCTTTAAAAAATCGCAATTTACCGTGTAATGGGAAAAACTGGATTCGTAGTATACGATCGTTAGGCAAATACGTGTCTAACAATTTCGATCGAAATATTTGAGCATACCTATTATGACACCCTGTAAATGTCTTGAAATTGATTATTCATTGTAAAATCTAACAGATGACTAAAGTTTCTTTAAAGTCTCACTAAAAAAAAAATATCATTGCAATATTAATGTTTGTACATCTTTGTCTTGATTCTTGTCACAATATTGGCGTTCTTTATAAAAGTTTGATGTAACTTCAATCTGAAAATATATAGTCTGAAGATTTTTCGAAGCACATATAAAATAGTTGTTTGCAGAGAAGGTGTTGGCAGTGACCCCTGGAGCAAAGAGAGATCTCAGTCTATTGGTCTTCACTGGTCAGTTCCAACAGTATCATTGTTATGGTTGTTGTTGCTGTTGTTTTGTCCATTAAGAAACGAAGCCATTTCCATCTGCGACTGTTGTCCGGTCTGTTTAGAAATATTTCGCTTCTTTCAAATTTCACTCACAAAGAAGCATGGACATGTAGATAATATATAACGTACGTATATGGTGTTCGGAAAATACAAAAGAAAAGCGGCTTCCAGAGAGAGTGCAGAGAATGTGCAAGTAGAATTTAAAGAACGCGACCAATGGCTAAAGCTAGAAAAAAACTAATCTTCTTAATATCGAGTAGTCTGAAAGCAGAAACACGTTAGTTGAATGTAGATATAGTCGCGTGCAAAAGTAAGAAAGAAAGAAAAAGACAAAAAATGCAAAAACTAACAAAGAAATTTAAAAAAAGAAGAAAGAAAAAATTTATAGGAGGAATACAATGAAGCACAATGACAAAAAAAAAATGCCACTTTTAAATAAAATGGCATACATCTGTAGGTCCATTCGACTCGATTCATTTCGAATCTAATCATCTAAATAGCACTTAATTAGGCTTGATGATAATAATTGTCAAACCAATGCGCTATTCTCAATAATAACCTTGGGGATATATAGATAGATATTGCAATTTAACATTTATGTCAATTTATCCACTATATGGAAAAATAAAAGCATGAACGAAAAGTTAAATATAAAATTTCTGATGAAAGTAAAGCGTTTATATACATAGCCACTCTATGATTTAAGATATGATTTGTTTACTTTCTATCGAAATTAAAATATAAATATAATCTAAGTTTAGAAAAAATTATCAAATTACTTTTTTCTAGAATTTCATTTCAATTATTTTTCCAAAATACAAGCTAATAGAACACACATACGATGGTATGATTAATAAATATAAATATTAATAAGATAAAAGTGGCCATATACGCTAAAATTGCAAAATTTTTATGCGTCTAACGTACTATTTTACTTAAATATAGAAACTGAATGACTGTAGACAAGTTAGAAACTTGATTCAAAATGGAAAAGATAAGATTTGATAAGAAATTTTCATTTGTTTTTTCAAATCTAGTTCTGAGTCATTCTTTTTCTTTGATAAAGCGGCAGTATTAATATTGCTACTTACAAATACCGACCTTAGGCTGTATTATATCTTCAGATGTATCAAGACCAGCAAGTGGATTTGAAGTTATGTTTATTTTTGAATCAGTTACTCCACCATTCATTATTCTCCCATTTGTTATTGGTTTCCCTAAAATAAAAAAATGAATATTCAATTTTTTATATAATTTAAATTTTTTTTTGAGATATAATAATAGTAAAATGTACCTTCACTTTGCGATGATTCTCGACTTTGTTTGTATTTTGTTCTTTTATATATTACCGCAACCGCGGTTAAACTACCTAGCAAAGTCGATCCTCCGAGAACTCCGCCAATTATGGCATACATATTCACATTTTTATCATCTGCAGGTCTTACTCGACTATCTAATGTTAGATTGCTGCTATGATCATTTCGATTATTATAATCGTTATGTTCATTCATATTCAAAGATTTTTTTGTTTTTTGTCGAAGAATTTGAGAAAATTCTGAAGCAGCATCCACAGAAAAACTTTGTACTTTAAACTCGTATGTTGTATCTGGTTGCAAGTGGGAAATAGTTATGTTGAAAGAATCTTTGCCCTCAACTGTAGTTTTTATGTAATCTCCAGCTGTAGTAGAGGCTCTATGGTATACGTAAAAACCATCGATATTTGCCAATTTATCTAAATTTTGCCAAATTAGTAATACTTCATGCGGACCTAAAGCCTCAGTGTTCGTTAACAAAGGTATAGGCATTTTATTACTTTCGATTCCACCATCTTTGTTAAGATGAAAACGTACGGAATTTGGACTAAGTTTATTATCATTATTTGAATAAACTGCAGCAATTCTAAATCGATAAGTATGATCAGGTTGTAAATCGGTTACTTCAAAAGCCCGTACATTATTCGGTATTTCTGAATTTGCAGTCATCCATTTGGCTTGTTTGCCATTCATCTTTTGTCCAAGTTCTCGATATTGAACTTTAAAAAATTGAATCGGCAATCCTGTATTTTCAGGTACAGACCATCTAACCATTACCGACACATCTGAAAGCCTTGTGACATTTGGCTGGTTCGGTGGTACTAATACCGCTAGAAATATATGGCATAATAAAAATGAAATAAATAATAGTGATATATACGCAATAATAAAAGTAACAAATTACCAACCAGTGCCTTTATGTTTCCCTTCCTTACTTCTTCGTCTACCTCCTCCTCTAGTGTGTTTATGTTTTGAATTAGAAATTCCATAATCCTGTCTGATTTCTGTTCCAATATGTTGTTTAGGATTTACTCTTAGCAAATTGCAACCAGAATGAGACCCATATTCGTTACTCGCGACACACTGGACAATACCAGCATGTTTTTTCTCAACTTCAGATATAAGAAGTGTAGAACCTTTGATTTCCACATTATCACTAGGTGTCAAGGATTCTCCATTAATTAACCATTCAACTTTTGGTTGTGGTTCACCAGTTACTGCACAAGAAAGTTCTAATTCTCCACCTTCAGAGAATGTGGACGCCTTCGGTGGTTTAATTACTTTTGGAGCTTCCATTACTTTTAATATAATTACAGATTTAATATGTGCATTATTGCTACTCCACATACAATCATATTCTCCTCTATCTGATGGCTGAACATTAATTATCATTAAGCCTATCAGAGTTTTTATGGAATTTGATGGTAACGGACTGCCTAATCTACTCCATGTAACGGAAGGTACTGGATAGCCAGCACCAAAACACTCTAATGTTATATTTTTGCCCCGTAAAACTTTGTATTCTGTTTGTGGTTGCTTAACAAAATATGGTGCTAAAAAACTAATGTTTTTATGTACATTTAAAATTGTTTTATAGTTACTCGAATATATTTGTGTAGTTATATAATTGCTAGCAGTGCAGTAATAAGATCCACTATCTGATATTTTAGCATTCTCAATAATCATAGTTTTGCTACCAATTATATTAACATTTTGTATGAGATTATTATTTTTATAAAACTGAACTATCGCTTCTGGTGCAGAATAAGGTACAGGACAAGTAATAGGTACAATATTTCCTGCTGGAACGTTTATAATAACATCGTTTTTATCAGAAAAGTTGTGTAGTGTAGCTAATGTTAATCTTGCTGGATCAGAAGCTAAACCACTTGAACCTAGAAACATTAGATGTAGTTATTTATATATATATTTTTAACATTGAAAATAAGATTTTAAATTAGATAAAATATAAAATATTACCATAAAAAGCTATACAACGATAATCTCCGGCTTTCGATTCATTATCAAATTTCACCACATGCCTAGATGTTTTGCCACCATTACTAATTGTGTGAAAAACTGGCAACCACTTATCCGAATTCAATGGTCTATGGCGCCAAGAAAAACGTTCTGCGCCAAGATTCAAATTACATTCAAAATTTACGTCATCGCCTATTGGTGCATCCAATGGTTGTGGATGTCTGGTAAAAGACATGCCTAACTCTTGCCTTTGCCCTGTCAATGTTAATTATAATATATTAATGTCTCTTTAATGTATTTATATATTGAAAATAAGGAAAAAACTTACCATATACAAGACTGGCTAAAACATAAAATAGAATCGTAACAATGCCACATGGAAAGGGCACAGATCGCATCTTGACACATTCTATAAGCAAGAAAAACAAAAATTCATTGTATCAGCTATTGAATTCTTTTTCAATTCGGTTTTCTTTTTTTAGAGAATTTTTAAAAACTCAAGGCAACAAGAAAGAGAAAGAGAAAGAGAGACCACTAAAATTAATGCCACTCAACTACGTTTAAGTTTAGAACGTGGCGAGTTCACGTGGAAATAGAACGCATTCATTCTAGTTTTGATCATGGCTCGTCATTTTGGCACAAATGCGTACCTTCTATCCTCACTATATCAAATGGGTCGCGCATTCCACTCTCACACTAGAACACAATATAATACTTTTGTCGTGTTAATAGTTTTATTAAAAATTTTAAGATCAATGAAAATTGTTCATAAAATTTGTAATTTTTAAAAATTAAAATAAAAAAGAACATTTTTTCGATTTATAGTTATATTTAGTATATAATTATATCTTCGATATTACACGCAAATGATACTGTAATTATATATATATATATATATATTAATTTTTTATTCTTGTATATGTAATAAAATAACTTCTTCTTCATA